GTTACATTTGAAGTGAGTTTCTTACAGGCACAGTAGTTGAATCATGTTTTTAAATCTGCTTTGTTAATTTAGATCTTTTCATTAGTGTATTTATTAATATTTAAGGTAGTCATTTATACATTAGGACTCAATTTCACCATTTTGTATTTTGTTTTCTGTTGAGTTATTCATTTGTCTTATCTCTGCCTACTTGTAGGTTACTTGAGTATTTTACACTTTTGTTTAAAATTTGTTTTTGTGCTTATGTTTTTGAATGTATCTCTTTATATAGTCTTTAGAGGTTCCTTTAGGTTTACATTATTTATGTGTAGCTTTTCACGGTTTACTAATGTCATTTTACCAATTCAAGGGAAATGTAGAAACTTTACCTTTTGTCTCCTTTATTCTTCCCTAGTAACCATGTAATTAAATATTTCCTTTACCTACACTTAGTACCACATTTATAGACAGTGTTATAATTCTTATTTCAACTGTCACATAATTTAGAAAACCCAAGAGAAGGAAAATGTATTTGTCTATATTTTTGATTACCATGTTTTTATTCTTCCTTCTTGATGTTCCAGGGTTGCTTTAAAAAAAAGAAACAAAAACCAAAAACCCAAATCACTTCCTTTTTGTTTAGAGAGCTTCTGACTTAAAGAAGTCACTCTTTAAGTCATTCTTTTAGGGTAAGCCTACTGGTGACAGATTCTCCTGGTTTCGCTTCACTTGAAAGTGCCTTAGTTTCATCTTATTCCTGGACATTTCCACTGGGCATAGGATTCTGGGTTTAGAGTCCCTTTTTTTTCAGCACTTGACAATTTTTGTGCTACTTCCTCTGTCCTCCATGGTTTTTGGTGTGAAATCCATTTCTGTTCAAGTGTTCTCTCATAGGTAAGATGGTGTTTTCCCATCACTACTTCCAAGGTAGTTTTCTGTGTCTTTAGTTTTCACAAGTTTGACGTGATGTGCCTTGGTGTCTGTTTCTCTGTTCTCTTTCCTGTCTGGTGTTTGCAGGGAGTTACATCTCTTGCCACATTGGGGGAAATTTCCGCCTCCGTTTCTCATACGCTGAACCCAGTCTTTTCTCCCCTCTCCTTCCGGGACTCCGATAACACGTGTTAGAGCTTCTGCTGGAGTCCCACGGGTCCCTGGGCTCTGCTCCCCTCTCTTGCCCTGCCTGCTCTTTCTCTGTTGTCAGAGGACGTGAGTTCTGTTCTGTATGCATGTTTGCGGGTTCTTTCCTCGGTCAGTTCCGTTCTTCTGCTTAGCTCATCCACAGAGCTGCTTACTTCGGCTATTGTGTTTTTCATTTCTAAAATTTTCCATTTGGTTCTTTATATCTTTTATTTCTTTGTTGAGTCTTTCTATGTTGTTTTACTTGTTTCTCGTATATTCATAACTTCCTTATTCACTTCTCCAGCACTCAGAAATTCTTGGTTCTTAGTCTGATGAGTGATTTTCAGTTGAAACCTGAACATTTTTGTGTTATGCTATAAAATATTGGATCTTATCTGATTTGTGTTTTGACCAACTTTCTCTTGACACCATTCTGGCAAAGGAAGAAATAGGTGGAGATAGAAGTCCAGATTCCACACTCAGCCTCTGTTGACATCCGAGGTGGGGGTTGGGCTCCACGTTCTTGCTGGATGGGAGTGGGGGTTTCCGCTCCCCCCCCAGTCTCCAGGGAGACTGCAGTGGCTTTTTACCACTGGGTGATGGCGAGAGTCCTGATTCTGACACTACCCAGTGGGGAGCTGGACAGATGCTTCTTTCTTTCTCTATTTCTTGAGGTATAATTCATTACAATATTATATGTTGTTGTTGTTCTGTCACTAAGTTGTGTCCAACTCTTTGCAACCTCGTGGACTGCAGCACACCAGACTTCTCTGTCCCTCACTATCTCCCGGAGCTTGCTCAAATTCATGTCCTTTGATTTGGTGATGCCATTCAGCCAGCTCATCCTCTGTCGTGCCCTTCTCCCACTGCCCTCGGTCTTTCCTAGCATCAGGGTCTTTTCTAATGAGTCAGCTCTTTGAATCAGTGACCAAAGTAGCAGAGCTGCAGCTTCAGTTCAGTCATTCCACTGGAGGTTCAGGGTTGATTTCCTTTAGGATGGGCTGGTTTGATGATGTCCAGAGACTCTCCAGAGTCTTCTGCAGCACCACAGTTGGAAAGTGTCAGTTCTTCAGTGCTCAGCCTTCTTTACCAGGCTCTTCTTTACAGTAGAGTGATTCCCGAATTTTAAAGGTCATGCTCCATTTATAAGCACATTTATAAGACACTGGCTATATTTCCTGTGTTGTACACTATCCTTGTAGCTGATTTTCTATACAATAGCTTGTACTTCTTAATCTCTTCCTGCTCTCACACCCTCCCCTTCTTTCTCCCCGCAGGTAACCACTAACTTGTTTTCTGTATCTGAGTATGCTACTTTTTTGTTGTGTTCACTAGTGTGTTGCACTTTTTTGACTCGACACGTCAGTGTTACCATGACAGCATTTGTCTTTCTGTGTCTGACTTACTTAAATAAGCATAATACAGAGGGATGCTTCTTCACTGCTGGGTTTGGGGGTAGAAGTCCAGGCTCCTCCTCTGATCTTCGCTGACGTTGTGACGTTGTGAGGTGGGGGTGTGGCTTGTTACCACTTAGCATGGATGGAAGTTCCCATTTTTTACCTCCCTTTTTTTAACACCATGCCGGAAGCTTTCACTGTGGCTTTGTTCCCTGGTTTTATTGGTATTTCCAGGTTGGTGGCGGCTGCTGCTCCAAGTCTGAAATCCATGAAGCAGAAAGCAAACCAGAACCCTCCCTGCCATGTCTTCCTTGGCCTCTGAAACTGTTACTTTGTCTCTCTCTAGCTTTCACAGCTTTCTTAGTCTGTTTCATGCACAGTGTCCTTGCACAGTGTTTCATGCACAGTGTTGTTGCTGTGCTTAGTGGGAGGAATAGGGGAAAGAAGCGCTGGTCCATCTGAGAAGTGGGGGCTCATCTCTGTTGCAGAAAGACGTCTTCACGGCGCATGGAAACCCTGTGCTGGCGTTTTTCTCTCCACGCTTGAGAGCTGCCTTCTCTTGGCATTGTTTCTCAGCTTCACCTTTGTTCTTATATACATAGTTTATTCCCACCTGCTTTACATTTTTTATTTTTATCACTGTTATAAGTAGCCTTCTGTTTGGGTTTTGTTGAAGTTGTTAGATCTGTAAATTTACTCTTTACGTTTGTATGCTTTTTAGTCATTTAAAAAAAATGTTTATTATAATTGTGCTAAGTCACTTCAATTGTGACCAACTCTTTGTTTGCGACCCTGTGGACTGTAGCCCACCAGGCTCCTCTGCCCATGGGATTCTTCAGGCAACAGTGGAGTGGGTTGCCATGCCTTCCTCCAGAGGATATCCCCAACCCAAGGATCGAGCCCGTGTGTCTTACGGTTCCTGCATTGGCAGACAGGTTCTTTACCGCTCGCATCACTTGGGAAGCCCCCAATATTTATAAACATTAATAAATTAATGCTTATAACAGTTATGATAATTACTATATGGTTAACTTCTTTTTCTTTTTTGTATTTTTTGGTTAACTTCTTTACTGTACAGTTCTGTTAATTTGAGGGGTCAGTTTTATGAATTTTAATACAGGTATAGGTTCATGTAGACTGCCATCTCAGTCAGAATGCACAACTATTCTCCCATTCTTAAAAAAACCTTCCTCATGCTGTCCCTTTGAAAACAATCATTTCTGAAAATATTTGTCCCGTCTCTTCTCCTTCGGACTCCAGTTACATGTACACTGGGGACACCTGGGCATGCTCCCATAGCTCACTGGTATGCTTTTTTCTTGTTCTTTTGAGAGGTTTGTTTTTTTTTTAATTTTTTTTTTTAGGTTTGTGTTTCATAATAGATAACTTCTGTTGCTAAGTCTTCAAGTTTGCTAATCTTTCCTTCTTTTGTTTCTAATCTGTTATTAACTCTATTTGTTCTGTTTTTCATCTCAGAAATCCTACCTTTCATCTGTAAAGTAGATTTGGTTTTATTTCCTTGTTTCTCCTTAACATGCCTTTGCTTTTTTCTACATCCTTGAGCATCGAAATATATATATATATATATATATATATACACATGTCTTTTTTTATCATCCTTGTTTTTGAGGACATTTCCAGGTCTATTTCAGTGTCATTTCCAGATCTATTTCTGCTTATCTGCTCCCTATTATTGGTCTTTTCTGCATCTTTGTATGCCTTGTACTCTTCAGTTACAATTTTATGTTGCTGGGTGCCAGATTTTTTTTATTCCTGAAAATATTGTTTAGCTTTACTCTGGGACACAGTAATGTTAACTGGAAATAGTTTGGACCTTTTGAGACTTTAAAAGCTTTGTTAGGCAGGACTGAGCCACCTTTAGTTTTAGGTGTTTCTTGAATTGAGTGTAATTGACTTTTGGGGCCACATAATTCTTTATTATAGAGGCTGCTTACTGTAGGATGTTGACCAGCATTTGTGGTCTCTACCCACTAGATGCCATTAGCACCACTTAGTATGAGCTAAGGTGGTTTTCCTATTTTTTAAAAGCTGTTAAAAAAATACAACAGAGACCTTTGTATGTGAAAAAGCTAGAACACTTGAGATTTTGAACCCTTGCACAGGAGACATTCCTTTACTGCTTGAGACAAATGGTAGCATAAGAAAAAAATTGTTATTTCTCCAGCATAGACGCTTCGAAATCGGAAGCGTGTGATTTGAGCCCAGCTGTGTGCCTGCCTCTTAATGACTATTTGGCATTGAGCGAATTTTTAACTCTCTGAGCCTCAGTTTCCTTTCTTGTAAAAGAGAGCCAGTATATATTTCTCTCTCAGGTTTGTTGGAAAATTCAGTGGAAATGAGTAGAAGTATATAGCTCAATGACAGGACGCACAGTCACTCTTATCCTTGCTTCAGGAGTGTGCTTGTGTTACGTATAATACCCCTCGATGTACAGATAGTGTCATAGTTTGCTAACTTGGAGGCTTATCATCTGTTATCTTTCAGGTCATGCAGAAGGATTTTGCATGATGTGTACAATGCAAGCACATATCACCCAGGCACTCAGTAATCCTGGGGATGTTATTAAACCGATGTTTGTCATTAATGAGATGCGGCGTAAGTATCCTCTCTAGTAGTTTATATGAATATTTGTTAGCCAGTTGGTCTTAATGATCTGACTGGTAAATGATGAGCTCCTTGGGTATTGCAGCAAACAGTTTATTGTATATAAATATGTCTTTAACGAATAACAGTTTTTTAGCAAACCATTTACTATGTAAACACATTTTGAAACCTAAAGCAAAAGATAACAATATAGTAAAGAAGATGGTATTCAGTTTGATATATAAGCAAATTAAAAATGATAAAACCCTCAAATTTGTTAACAAAATTGGGATAACTTTTGCAGCATTTTTCCTAGATATTTGGATTTCTATGCTGAGTAATACTAGCTCTAAATATTGTCCCACCGGTTTCTTTAAATAGTTTCAGTTAGCTTTAATTCAATGAATGAGTATACATAGTGACAGGAATTATCAAAATAAAGTTAATTATATTCTTAAAGAACATTTTATACTCAGAACTTAGCAGATTTGTGGATCAATTTCACAAGTTTCTATATAATTTTTAATGACTTTAAAATCTCCTCTTGCATTATAATGATTCTGATAGGTTCCATGAAATTTTTTATGCACTTTCTTCATGTTTTTTGCAGTAAGCTTTTGTATTATCTTAATTAACTGATTTGGAATAAAAAATGCTTACAAATAAAACAAAAACCTGACTCTTAATCTGGTATCTAGCTGGGTAATTATAGGGGTCCATAATTACACAGTGACAATTTATAATCCTTTTGCCTAAAAAGCTGCTGAAGATAAAGAAGTGTTATCTTGGCCCTTGGTACTATTAACAGGCTGGAGGAGACCATGAAAATTTTTTTTTCAACATTGCTGGATCTTAACAAAATTTTAGCCAGGGGTGATTTTGTTTGTTGAAAACATGTGTATGTTATATATACTGATATGCACATATATACACATGCATACATATATGGCAGACAAAATTAATTTTTTTAAACCTAGTTATTTAAGAGAATGCTATTGGTGTGTATATGTACATACATCTACGGATGTACATATATGGTTAAATATATGGTTATATGGTTAAATAATGAAATTGTTAACATATATGGTTAAATGGTTATAGACATATATGGGTGAATAATGAAATTGTCGTTTTTGTAGGTCAGAACTTGTGGAATGTGCTCAATTTCATATGATTCAAGTTAATATATATCTATATATTCATTCACATAAAATTATATGTATATTTATACTTCTGTATTGTTTTTCATTATCATTTTGGCTTGTGGCTATTTAGTCAATTAGAAATAGGACTGAGATGTTACTGTGCAGTGGAGAATGTATGTTCTCTAGGCTATTGGGATAGAATTAGATAGATTCACACTTGTCTTTTATATAGATTCTCTTAGGGAATTCTAGCACCCAAGTTAAGAGGTATGCACTAACATAACATTTGAGACAAAATTTTGAAACAATAACAGCTAAAGTTGAGTTTATTCAAGAATCATTTTATTGCTGAAGACAGTCCCTGGGCTCTCAGAAACTGCAGCCCGTGTGGGCTTTTGGTGGTCTGAAGGGCTCATCCTGGGTGTTCTCAGGGGAAACTTAATTAATTAACTAATTAATGCTGTTTCCTCATAAAATAGTTATCTAACCAGTATACTGTCATAAGATACAGCCTCGGGGGGAGTACTGCCTGGGCGTGTGATAGGGGATGATAAGGCTTTGTCTTTCCTCAAACTCGACAGGTATAGCCAGGCACTTCCGCTTTGGAAACCAAGAAGACGCCCACGAATTCCTTCAGTACACTGTTGATGCTATGCAAAAAGCATGCTTGAACGGCAGCAATAAGTGAGTCCACACGGCATGGGTCACCCCCGCCCCCAGCCCGGCTGCCCTCGGGCACTCCGCTCGGACTTCAGGAGGGGCGCGCGGAGCTCCCTGTCCGCTGCACCTTTTGACTTTGTGCTGCCTCTTCCTCGAGTGTTTTGCATTATTTTAAAATGGTTGAAATTTTAAAAGGTGTGCTCCCTATCTCTAGCCTTTGAAATCTGTGTGTGTTCCCTTTGTCAGTGGGGTCAGTTACCAATCCCTGCAGTCTCTTCTTTAAAATCTAAACATGGGCTCAGGGGAAGGTTGGAGAAACAGACAAGTCGTCGCCTACTTGCTGTTTCCTCGACACCCCCCGCAGGCGTGCATTCCCTTCCTGCGGCCGCGGCCCCGGCCCTGCGTCAGCAGGCGCTCAGCATCTGGATGGTGCTGGGCTGCAGGGCAGAGTGCTCACAGTGGTGTCCCAGTCCTGCTGAGGGCGACTGCCTCTTGCTGCGTGCTTCGGGGCCAGAGTCCTGCCCTGATTTCCGGATCGCTTCTTAATACTGTCCGACTGCTTCTCCTCCTCACCCCAGATGTGTCTTTGATTGGGCAAGGCTGCTCTCCGGCTGTCACCATACTGTGCGGCTCTCTTGCGTGAATTCTCAACATGGTTTTTAGCATCAGTTACAGCACCTCTTATTTTTGCAGAATGCTTCTCTCATCTCACTCTTTGATTTTTTTTTCAGATTGGACAGACACACCCAGGCCACCACACTCGTCTGTCAGATATTTGGAGGCTACCTAAGATCTAGAGGTAAACTCTTGGTTTTAAAGGTTGATAATTGTGACCTGGCATGTGGTGTAAAAGGACGCAAGGGCTCGGAAGGGGTTAAGAAGGGCCCATGTGTCTCTCTGCGCCCGGACTCCCATCCCCGTCAGCCCCTGGCCCAGCTTGTGGTTGTCCTCCCGGTCGCTTCCTGTGCGTGAAGAGCCTGGGCTCTTTTCACACTGGAAACTTTCTAACATTTTCAGCACACATAGGTCTCACACAGCCTTTCACAGTTGCAATAGTATTCCAATTAGTTTAGTTCCCCACCAGTGAATTTTTAGGTTGTTTCTAATTTTTGTTGTTGTTATTACCACTAGCGCTTTATTGAGCATCCTTGTATACACATACCTTTATGTCCCTGTAAAAGTGTGTATACATACGATAATTAGTTAGAATTTCTGTATCAAAGGATATGTGTTTTCAAATTCTGATTTTGCCATATTGTTCTTCCAAGAGGTTATACCAGTTTACACTCCAGCCAGCAATGTACGTGGACCAAATTAGTGACTCCCACTATGTTGTAACATGTTTTGCCCAGTCTTATAGATGAAAAAAGTACCTTATGGTTTTTGTTTTGTAAATGCATGTGTGTGTTCTGTCATTTCAGTAGTTGGTATTGCCATACTGATTATACTTTGCTTATCCTTTGTGTTTTATTTTTATTTCAGTCAAATGTTTAAATTGCAAAGGTGTTTCAGATACTTTTGATCCATATCTCGATATAACTTTGGAGATAAAGGTAAGTTTGGTAGCTGTGGTGGTAGTCAAGTTAAACAAAAATTAGTCACACTTTATATAACTTTATTTATAGTTCTCTTACAATTTAGACTACACTTGTTAGAGAATATGAATTGAGAACTTTAATATGCTAAGACTTCATTAGAGGAGCTTATTGAAACTTTGTATTAGGCATCATAAAAAACTTAAAAATTTAATAATTTTATTACCTGTTGACCTTTAATCTTAATAAAACCAGATTATGATGCCTATATCAGCCGAATTTACGTGGTGGTTATTCTTTAGAAACTGTTTTTTGCTTCTTGCATTCTCTGAACTCTCCCATTTTTTGTTGTCTGTAGCTTTTGTTTTTCTCATCTCAAGTGTGATACATGCTAACGATAAAAATGAGAAACACTGCAGAGACATGTGGGAGCCTGTCCCCAGAATGAACACTTGTTAACAGTTTGATATAGACTATTCCAGAGTGTCTGTTTACTGTTTACACTGACGGGTTTACACCTTCAGTCTTTTGGGCCACTTGCTATTTTCATTCCATTTTGCTTGGGCCTGCTGTGTGTCATGCTTCAGCCGATCTACATGCCTGTTTCCTTCCTGGTAGATACTTTGATTTTGTTCCTGTTTTATGCTACTGTAAATAATGCTGCAGTGGGCAACCTCTATTTGTTTGCTTTGGCCACACTGTGCGGCTTGCGGGATCTCAGTTCCCCGACCAGGGATTGAATCCAGGCCCTTAGCAGTGAAAGCACGGAGTCCTAGTCACTGGACCACCAGGGAATTCCCTGCATTTTTTTTTAACTGGGGGTGGGGAGGGCAATAGCTTGGTGTGTACATGTGTAAAACTGAGCACCAGAATGAAAAAGTTTCTTCTTACATAAAATTCGCGCTTGGCTTTACACTTTGGGGCCATCTTTCTTCTTTCGCTGACACGCGGCAGCGCGTGGTCACGTGCTCTTGGTGCCCCTCTGTCCGCAGGCCGCTCAGAGCGTCAACAAGGCACTGGAGCAGTTCGTGAAGCCGGAGCAGCTCGACGGGGAAAACGCGTACAAGTGCAGCAAGTACGGCGGTGGTGCGCGCGGGGAGCGGGGAGGCTTGCGGGGAGAGGGTTTGGCGCGTCTGGCGACCGGCAAGGTTCCTCTTAGCTTCCGGGACCGCCTGGGAAGACCCTGGCTCTCTGTTCGCGAGGGCCAGGGCATCCGAGTCTCAGTGTTAACACTCCTTAGACCCGGAGGAGGCGGGTCCTCACTCCTGGGGAGCTGGGTGGAGGCGAGGGTAAGACCAGTCACACGTTAGTGCCCCTGCGTGTGAAGGTGCTGGCTGGGGTGGGGCGTGTGTGTCAAGCAGCATCTCCAGTGACCCCGGTGTGAAGGTTTGGGGCAGGTGGAGCATCGCTTTCTCCCAGAGCAGTCAAGGATCTCTCTTTTTCATGGTCGTTTCCCAGGATTTGGGGCAGTACCTGCCAGAATCCTCAAGTTTGAATCATTCTGTAATGTTTCCCCATGAAGTCAAGGAGGCCTATTTTAAGAAAGCCCTGTTTCTTATGGTTTAAGTAGATGTTCGTTTTAAGTCAGGTAATATGGGTAAGAGTTGTTACTGAGTAGAGCCAGACCTTGGGGATAACTGTGGGTTTGGTTCCAGACCAGCACAATAAAGTGAATCTTGCAATAAAGCAAGTTGCCTGAATTTTTTTGTTTCCCAGTTTATAGAAAAGTTAGGTCTACATTATACCATAGTTTTTAAGTGCAATAGCATTATGTCTAAGAAACAGTGTACAAACCTTAATTTAAAAATACTTGTTTTAAAATGCCAAAATAACTAGAAGAGTAACATCAAAGGTCACTGATCATCATAACAGATACAATAATAATGAAAAAGCTTGAAACATTGCAGGAATTATCAAAATGTGGCACAGAGACCTGAAGTGAGCAAATACTTTTACATTGCAGGCAGATTCTTTACCACTGAGCCACCTGGGAAGCCCTGAGCAAATACTTTTAGAAAGATGGCCCAGTAGACTTGCTCCACGCAAGGCTGCCGCAAACCTTCAACTTGTGGAAAATACAGTATCTTCAAAGGGCAGTAAAATGCGGTGCCTGGGTTCATTTTTTTGGGGAGAAGGCCCCTTTTCCTTCTAAGACCAGAGGGATGTTGCCTTTGTTTTAAACCTCATGGACGTTTCTAGTCTTTACTTCCTTGCTTTTGTATCTGGGCTTTGTTTTCACAGGGTTCTTCTACCAGCCAGGTTTTCAGTTTGTTTTGAATTGAGACTAACTTATATAAATCTAGTTTCTAAAGTATCAGTGATCTATAGGACCTGACATTTCAGAGCTGTCCTGTGTTTTTCATTCATGTTAACTTAGCCATCTCCCATACTTCAGATTTTCATATTTTCACTGTTGGATGAAAAGGGTGGTATTTCTCATCCAGTACCCTTCTTTTGGAAACTTAGACTGTTCCAGAGAAATAACAAGGGTAAGATGAAAAAACAACAACCAACCTATATTAATCTTCTTAAACATCTGTTTTTGTTTTTCCCAAGGTGTAAAAAGATGGTTCCAGCTTCAAAGAGATTCACTATACATAGATCTTCTAATGTTCTTACACTTTCTCTGAAACGTTTTGCAAATTTTACTGGTGGAAAAATTGCTAAGGTGGGTAGATAATATTATTAACAACTGTTTATGCTGAGCCTTTCAAGGCTTAACTGTCAGCAGCTTCATGGAAGTTTTATTACCTGATTTTCTAAGTTCTTCCAGCACTTGTTAGTGGAATAAAGTGTCAAAGAACTGAGCTCAAAGTTTGATGTGTGTGTTTACAGGGTGTGTGTTTTTGTCTGTATCCTTTAGCTGGCTAGACTTTCTGAAGATCACAACCAGTGCTTATTACCCGCGTTTGGGCATCAAAGTCAGTCAAGGTGCCGAGTGCGTTCAGGGAACGCTTACGGCATTTCAAGTCCAAAGATTTCCCAGCCACACCTTGCCATTCTTTCACCAGAACTTGTTTTCTTGCTTATTCATTTGTTTTCTGATTGGTAGTATACTGACTTTCCCATTTTCTTCTCACTTTCTGAAATTGAAAGTGGTCAGAAATCCAGTAATACGCAGAAGAAATAACCTGCTCCTGAATTGTCAAAAATAAGCGATGACTTCAGGTCCAGACCTGTGATTGTTAAGTGTCTGCTTTGATGGGTTTGCGTAAAGGAGAGGAAGAATACAGTGGGATTGCACTAAACGCACTTAGAGTCAGGCGTGCTCCGGGTTAGTTCTGTCTTCTGAAACGAGGCTCGTAAGGCTCCATGCTCTGTGAGTCTCCTGCTCTGCCTCCTTCAGAAATGATGTTCCTTTTTTCTCTCTTCATTCTTGTGTAGGATGTGAAATACCCTGAGTATCTTGATATTCGACCGTACATGTCTCAACCAAACGGAGAGCCGATCATTTATGTTTTGTATGCAGTCCTGGTACACACTGGTTTTAACTGCCATGCTGGCCATTACTTCTGCTACATAAAAGTAAGTTGTGTGGATTTTGTTAATAACTCTTTCTACAGTACACTGTAAGATAACACTGGCATTCTTGGGAGGGAAGAGGGGCTTTTCCAGTTGACGTGTGGTAGCCCCTTTTTCTTACAGGTCTCTGAATTGGGGTTCCCCGCATACCTGATCAAATCTGATACCGCTTTTGTTGGTTGTCTTACAGGCTAGCAACGGCCTCTGGTACCAAATGAACGACTCCATCGTGTCTACCAGTGATATCAGATCGGTACTCAGCCAGCAAGCTTACGTCCTCTTTTATATCAGGTATTGTCAGGAAAGCGCATTTCCACCTTTTCTGTTAAGTCAGAAAGAGCGCTTCACTTCATCAGCATGCTTAAATTCCATTGTTTGCTTAAACAGCATCTCCACGGTGGAAAGAGTAAGGAAGGTGTATTTGAGAGTGGGCCATGTGTTTACTGTAGCTCCCAGCTCTTCGGCAGGTTAAAGAAACACACAGAAGAAGGGAAGGGAGTAGCCAGAGGGCTTCTGCTGCTGGCAGCAAACCGGGTGGGCTGGTGGGCCAGGGAGGCAGGGAGTGGAGGCTCCATAAGGGGACTCCTGAGTACCCGGTGCGGTCACCTCTCAGCCCCTGGGCACCGTCAGCCGGCCACGTCCCCGGCCAGGCCCGGGCCAGCACCCACGTGCTGCTGCGTGTTACTGATTCGGTAATTCCTTCTGGAGATGCAGGGCCTTGGAACAATCCAATGAGTGCTCCAAGGTGTATCCATTAGTAGTAGCTGGAAATTCAGAACATCCTGAAACTGCCAACAATAGCAGATCACATAAATGGTAGCATGTGACGAAATACAATGCAACTGTTAAAAGTGGTTTTTATGTTTTTTAAAATGCTATGAGAAGGTGCTCTATATATGGAGGAAAAGCAGTTTGAAATTTTACACACTGATGTTAAGGAGATCAGTCCAGGCTAAAGCCTACAAAATCTGGATGGCAGGTGCCTTGAAGGGGTGAGGGGGCGGGGCACAGTGTCTTTGTTTCTTTCTAACTTTTCAGGACAGCACAGATCTTTCTACAGTGATATGTGTTTAGAATTAGAAAAATGGAAAACAAAAGAAAAATAGCTTTAAAAAAATTAAAAAAATATATTTTTCGGCTAGAATACACAGATATCAGATCAGAATACACAGTGACCCTCTTTGTCTGCTGACCTGAGCTCCCAGTGCCAGCCTGGGCCGGACTGGGACTCTGTGCCCTTCCCCAGGTCGCGTCTCCTGTTGCCTGAGGGTGGAGTGTACCTGAGCTCTTTGGGGAGGTGTCCCACGTCATCCTGAGTACTGTCACTCTCCGTCCCCAGGTCCCACGATGTGAAAAACGGAGGTGAACTTCCTCATTCCGCCCACAGCCCCGGCCAGTCCTCACCCCGACCGGTCATCAGTCAGCGGGTTGTCGGCAGCAAACAGGCAGCCTCGGGATTCATTGGCCCACAGCTCCCCTCTCACATGATGAAGGTAACCCTCCCGAGCGAGCGTCCAGCCCTCTGCTTCCTGCTGCAGTGCTGGCCCTGACCTCACCCACAGCTGAGTTTCGTGCCACAGAAATGGATTCAGGCCGTTCATGATACTTCAAACACAGGGGAAATCTCTGAGGATGAACAGTGTGATCCAGAAGGAAGTCGGGGTGTGAGTCTGTCTAAACACTGGGAACTTGATCTCCCCCCGGACTCTGTTCACTTCACGGAGTAAATATGAGGGGTTCTCGATTCATGCTGGCCCCCAGGAGAGAGATGCTTGTACCGGAAAAATACTTCTGTTGCCTCCGTTTAGCCCTTTCAGGGGTGTGACGTTTTCTGCCTGCTGTCTGGCTGGGCCCGATCACACCCCTGAGGGCTGCTCAGAGCGAGCAGAGGGCGTGCTCTCTGGTTCCTGTGACACCGGCGTCCTCAGTGGAGGCCTGGCTTTTGCTTGACATAAATGTTGAGACAGTGGACGTGTTGGAATAGCCTGTACACACCGTGGAATAATCCTGTCCCCTGTGCCATAGTGTCATGACAGCCTTTCAGTCTGACAGGGAGTCATAGCTCAGTGCTGCAGGGAGCTGGACAGGCAGCAGGCCCTGCGCTGGGCTTGGCCTGAGGGACGTGGGGCACATCAGCTGCAGAGCGCCTGCCCTGTGTGGAGGGCCGCTGCTGTTGATTTGTCAGGAGGTGTTTTTGTTTAACTGTGACGCCTTCCCTTGTAGCTGAGTCGGTAAAGAATCTGCCTGCAGTGCAGGAGACCCGGGTTCAATCCCTGGGTCAGGAAGATCCCCTGGAGAAAGAAATGGCAACCCACTCCAGTATCCTTGCCTGGAAAATCTCATGAATAGAGGAGCCTCGTGGGCTGCAGTCCATGGGGTCTCAAAGAGTCGGGCACAACTGAGCGACTAAGACTTCCGGTGTGAAAGTTAAAGTCACTCAGTTGTGTCTGACACTTTGAGACCCCCATGGACTATACAGTCCATGGAATTCTCCAGGCCCAGAATACTGGAGTCGGTAGGCTTTCCCTTCTCCATGGGATCTTCCCAACCCAGGGATCGAACCCAGGTCTCCCACACTGTAAGCAGACACTTTATCAGCTGAGCCATTATCCAGTGGTAAGTTAGCAACTAGTTCAGATACTTAAGAAAACATTTTGAAGGCCAAAGTTCCTCTATGAGGCAGAATACACTCGTGACCACCAGTGTGCAGCTTCTGGGTTTTAGCAGCAAAAGCTGAGATGTGGAGCGAAGTAACTACTCAAGGAAGAGCGGAGGTCACAGAGGCAGGGATGGCTAAGTGAGCGTGTCCATCCATGTGACTGTCACCGCATTCCTGGGGCCCTGGGAAGTCCCTGTGGCTGGCCTTCTCCTGCCTGAACTGCCAGGGGCTTCCAGGAAACCACGAAGCAGAACCTGTGTGACTCCATGCCCAAGAGGACCTGCTGCTTTCTGCCAGACTGGAGCAGAAAGAGTTTGGTCTGGGGGTTGTTCTCTGACAAAAGCAGTTGTCCCTGTTTGTCAGAAATTAATTTCCAGAAAACTGGGACCTGTGAAAGGTCTGTGGTGGGCAGGCCCACGTGAGAGGGGGAGGTGTTTCATTCCTCACAGAAAGAGAAAAGATGGCCAAAGTGGAAAAAGCCCACCGCCTCAGGTCTCTTAAGTCTGTGGCGGTTTCTGGAGCTCTCACCTCGCCGTGGTCTGCTTGTCTCCAGAACCCCCCTCACCTGAACGGGACGGGACCACTGAAGGAAACGCCGAGCAGCCCCCTGTCAGGTCCCAGCGGGAATTCCAGTGTCAGCAGGACTGGTCCTGTGAACGCCTCCCCGTCTGTTCAGAACTGGTCAGTTAACAGGCCCTCAGTTATTCCAGAACACCCCAAGAAACAGAAAATCACGATCAGTATTCACAACAAGTTACCTGTGCGCCAAGGTCAGTCTCAGTCTAACCTTCACAGCAATTCTTTGGAGCACCCCAACAAGCCCGCCCCCTCTTCTACCATTACCACTTCTTCTGCAATACAGTCTACCTCGAGTGCCCCCACGCCGCCCGCCTCTAGTAAGGTCCCAAAGCAGATGGCCCCGAGGGAGGCCTGCTCCAGGCCTGTGATGAACGGCAGGTCCAGGCTGAGCGCTGGCGTGCTGGTCCCCTACGGCGCCGAGTCCTCCGAGGAGTCTGATGAGGAGGCCAAGGGCCTCGGCCAGGAGAACGGCCTCGGGCTGACCGAGAGCGCGTGCTCCCCTGCTCCAGACGCCGAAGACGGCGAGGCCTCCCCGCACGAGCTCCGAGAGCCCGTGGCTCTAAATGGTGCTACTGGTCCGGACAGCGACCTGACGGAAAATGGCCTGCCCTCGGACGGGGCCCCTTGCCCAGGCCAGCCCGCGCTGCACTCAGAACACCCCTTTCCCAAGGCAAACGGCCTCCCTGGGAAGGTGAGCAGCTGTGGGGTGGTGGGCAGGCAGGCTTCCCTTCTGCCCTTATGTCTGGCGGGTCGCGTGGCTGGGTTTCAGGAGGGACGGGTGTGGCACTCACAGCTGAAAAACATCCTTGTTTTTTTATCCTAGTTGATGCCTGCTCCTTTGCCACCTCTTCCAGAAGACAAAATCTTAGAGACCTTCAAACTCGGCAGCAAAGCCAAAGGCCTGGCAGAGGAGACGAGGTAAGACGACTGTCCCAGGGCAATGGGATGCGGGACCGGGCTGCGTCCGCTCGTGGAAGGCCTAGGATGAGCCTTCTGGGTCTTGAAATGACGTGAATACTCATCTGTAGAACTCGTTGATTTTCCTGGTGGGAAAGTTAAGTACACGGTTCTCAGGGCCTGTTGGCCCGGCGCCCTCCGCCTCTCCACAGCGCCTCCCCCTGTGCTGGGGCGTTGTCAGTACATGTCTGACCAGCCAGCACGCCCCACTGAGTGCCCCAACAGGCACCCACGGGTGTGCAGGGGGCTGGGCAGGGAGGCCTCCTCTGTCCAGGAGCAAAGGCTTCGCTATGCTCTCTCTAGAGCTCTGAGATTAAATTAACAGTCAGTGTGGTGTCTCCATGCTTAAAAAACACACCTCAGTGTCCTGACCTCAGCGCACATGACATGATGGGAGTAAAGGCAGGGCCGTGAGGCAGCAGCCGCAGTCTCCAGGTGAGCGGCCCGGGAGCCGGCACCTCACACAGGTCAGGTCGCGTCACCTCACGTCAGCGCCATGACGTCCTCCTGGGGGTCTCTGTGAACCGGCCAGTAACAGAGCTGAGGTGTTCTCCACGTGGACCTCGGGCCATGCGCACCTGGCTTGTTCTGCAGAACTGCCTGCCTCAGCCACTCCCTACTGGTGCTCTGGTCTCCCCCATCACAGGGACAACCCCCAAATGCACTCGATGGCAGAAGGGCCCCTGTGGGGGACGTGCCCTCACCAAGAACCCCAGTCAGGAATGTTCCTAGGCGAGCCTAAAGAGGGGGCAGCTGAGCACTCAGGCCTTGGCGTCACGGCTGTCCTCACGTCTCCCCTCATCTGGCTCAGCCTGTCTTCAGGTGGAACGTGCGTGAGCATCCTGATAGATGGCCTGTGATGGCCACACCCCAGCCACACGCACCCCAGCTGCACGTGCGACCTCGAGCCTCTGTGATGACCTCGCGTGTCTTCTCTCTCCCAGACCAAAAGGGGGGCCCGCTTTAGGGTTTTTCTTGTTTTCTGGCAGCTTTCCTTAACTTGAGGAGTCCGTCAAAAGCATGGCAGAAGTCGTTTACTGCAGCAGTGGTTCCTCACAGTTTGTTGGTAATTCAGGGAGCTCTTGGTTCTGTTGGGAGGTAACTACTCTGCCTCTGAGGCTCCAGAAAAATTCAGAGAAAAGGGATCCAGAGGAAAAAGTAAGCGCCCTGTCATTATTTGACTTTTTCGATGGTCTGGACTTACTTACTGAGAAGAATTAGAAAAATACCTGAAAACGAGAGGCACCTAGAACTGCAGTTGTTGCTGAAAAATGAAGTAGGCTTGATAGAAATTTTTACATTTGTGTATAATGAGAAAACTTGGTTTCCAAAAATGATAAAGCCCAGCTTTAGGTTTCAGCCATATACAGTAAAGCCATAAAATATTCAGTAAATGAATGAAGTGTTTGTCTGTCCCTGTAGTCCATTGACAAAAACCCAGAGAGAAAACAAGTAAATGACCCCTGTCCTTCTCTCTCTATGGGACTGCAGGACACCTGGCTCAGAGGAGAGACCTCTGGAGCATCCGGAGGCAGAGCTGGAGGCCAGCCACTCCTCTCCCGAAGACGCCCGGGAAAACCTGGAGTCTGTCTCGAGTCTCAGCAGCAAATTCAAGAAGATTTTGCCACCCTCGGACCCCAGCATCAAACCTACCAAAGAAGGAGTCTCTGAACATGTTTTGGCAGAACCCGAGGAGGCCGTGCCGAGTATCAGCACCTTTTGTAACCCCGACAAGGATGCCCTCGGGGACGATCAGCTTCCAGCACCCTGTGAGCCTGGGAGCTTAACAGACGATCAGAGCAAACCATCCCCGGACGTGGGAGGGACGTTAGCAGAGCGGCCCCAGGAGCCGGTGGCCACGGAAGCCACAGGGAGGCTGAGCCCGGGTCCCTCTGTGCCTTCTGAGGGCAACTGTGAGCCCGAGCCCTTGGGTCGGGACAGAGGCTCGGATGCAGAGGGCCCCGCCAGGAGCACGGGGGTGTCCACAGACGAGGTGCCCTCTCCGCAGCTAGACACGATCACAGAAGACCGTCCCGAGGGGCCCCTCGAGTGCAGCAGCGGTGAGAGAGGGGAAGACAGTAAGGCTGGGCAGAAGGCCCCGGAGCCGTGTCCGGTCCAGGAGAAGGTCAGCAGCCTCAGAAAGGTCGACCGAGGACATTACCGCAGCCGAAGAGACCGCTCGTCCAGCGGCGAGCGCGCACGGGAGAGCCGGAGCAGGACTGAGGTGCAACATCGGCGGAAGCGGCCCCACAGGGAGCACGAGCGGCCGCGGCCCGAGCGGCCCCGGCCGGAGCCCTGCGCCCCGGCCCCGCAGCCCCCCTGCCTCAGCTCCCTGGCCAGGTCAGGCCATCACCACTCCCGGAGCAGGGGCGCCCCCGACCAGGAGTGGGGCCGCTACCACCACGCTGAAGGCGAGCATGCCTGGGCCCGGGAGAAGTACTACCCGGAGAGGCTGCGCTGGGAGCGCTGCCGGTACCACCACGACAGGTCCCCCCTGTACCCCAGCCGGGAGCCCCGGGACTGGCGGCCCTTTCACGCTGAGCGAGAGTACGAGCGGGCCGGGCCCTACGGCGGCCGGCCCTACAAGGACCACTACAGAGGCCGCAAGGGCTATGAGCTGGCGGCCAAAGAGAGGGACCGGCACCGCTTCAGCAGCCCCCGGGTAGGCATGGCCCATGCGCCCCCTCCACACCCCGCCGCCAAGTATGCCCACGACAGGCTTGGCTTCGGGGCTGAAGACAGCAGCTGCGACCTGGCGGGGCGGTTTCATGAACATGACGTTAAGTCACGGAAACGGAGATATGATAGCCTAGAGAATGACAGTCATGTAGAAAAGAAAGCCTGGAGAAGTTTACAGAAGGACCCTTTAGAGGAGCCCAAAGTAAAGAAGCACAAAAAATCAAAGAAGAAGAAGAAATCCAAAGACAAACACCGGGACCGAGACTCCAGGTGAGGGGGCGGCTGCACGTGGGGGGCGGTGCGCGCCTTCTGCACCCAGCCTGGGGACAGGTGAGGGCTGTGTCATGGGTAGTTTTCATCTCGGTGGGTTTGGGACTTCCCTGTTTTTATCGATTCCTAAAACTTAACTCTATTTTAAGGTGTATCTTATTACGTGGTTTTGTAAAACACCTGAAAACCTGGTCTTGCAAGATGTTGCCGTGTTCGGTTGGTGCTTTGTAACTCTTGAGTACACGTGCGGCAGGCAAAGCTTGGGGTTTTCCGACTTCACAGTGGTGGTAGTGTTTAGTTGCTCAGTCATGTCCAGCTCTTTGTGACCCCCATTGACTGCAGCCCTCCAGGCTTTCCTGTCCTTCACCAACTCCCAGAGTTTGCTCAAACTGCTGTCCATTGAGTCTGTGATGCCATCCAACCATCTCATCCTCCGTTGCCCCCTTCTCCTGCCCTCAATCTTTCCCAGCATCAGGGTCTTTTTCAATGAGTCTGCTCCTCACATCAGGTGGCCAAAGTATTGGAGCTATAGCTTTAGTCTTTCCAATGATTATTCAGGGTTGATTTTCTTTAGGATTGACTGTTAACATGTTTATTCACAGATGTAGTTACAGTTCTACGGCTGTTGATAATCTCCAACAAATTGTTCAATGAGGTTTCAAACTTAGTTTCCATTTCTCCATTTCTCAGTTTGAAATCTCATTGGGAAGTTTGTTCTTGTATTTTTTAAAAGCTAAATTGGTCAGCAGTTTTCTTGAAAATGACTTCTCCATGACAAGAGGACTGAGCACAGATACAGTTACTATACAGTGGTATCTCTTAAGATCTAAAAAAAAAGATCAAAACCCTGGGAAGAGGTTACCAGAAGCCACAGGTGAAGAGTGGTTACTTGAAGGAAAAGGAAATCAAATCTCCTTCCTTCTGTGTGCCTGAGACACCCAGCAAAGATACTTTTTCCTTCAGCCACTAGTTTCAGGAAAAGTTGGTGGAGTCCTTCCTTCCTCTGGTGTTTTGGCCAGAGCTCCTCTCCCCAAAGTTGAAGGCCACAGTGGGGACAGGTTGAAACTGGTGAGTTTATGACCCTGGACTTAAATTAATACAGTGAAAACTGCATGTTTAATTAGGAAAGAGTCTCACCTGTTTGTGCGTAGTGAGTGTCCACAGAAGTAGGTGTGAGTCAGAGAGAGGGCCATCTCTTGGGGTGGTTTGCTTTCCTAGTGGTCCTAGATCCTGGCTTTGTCTTTGGCAGGCATCAGCAGGATTCAGACCTTTCCGTAGTGCACTCTGACGCTGACCTCCACAGACACAAGAAGAAGAAGAAGAAAAAGAAGAGACACTCGAGGAAATCAGAGGACTTTGGGCGAGATTCAGAACCGCGCTTGCCCAAGGCAGCCAGCTGTGAGACTGTGGACCATTTCCGGAGAGCCGAGGGCACCTTCCCCCTTGCAGACGGCCTGCCGCTGGAGGGCGCGGCACCTTTCTGTGAGAAAACCAAACACTTCAGGATGGAGAGCCGGGAGGTCAGGTGTCGTCTGTCCGAGTGCGGCCAGGGTAAGGGGGCGCGCTGGGAGAGCGGCGGGGTGAGGGGGCACTCTGGGAGTGGCGGCCCTAGGAGCCCTTCCCTTGGGAGGAGGCGGTCGCTCGGGGAAGGAGCCTCACAGGGCGGAGCAGCTGTCAGTCTCGCTGAGCCCCGCCCCGCGTCCTCAGACAGCTCCCGCGAGGCCTCCGCGGCGCCTCGAGGCTTGTGGGAACGCTGAGTGAGGTAGAGCCAGGAACCTGTGCGGCGTGTGGCTCTGAGCGTCTGACTGTGGACAGAACTTATGTTTATACGCCATGTTTGACAGAAATATTGTTGTGGTACCTCCTTTCTCTCCGGGGTCCTGAACCTCTCTGCCCTTTGTGAGGAGACCCTGGAAGTCTGTCTGGTGACCGGTGCGCAGGCGTCACGCCTAGGGCCCGGGTCTCGGGCGCCGGCTCCTGGTGGGGGTCCCGGGTCACCGCACGCTGCAGGGCGCAGAGATTCTTGTCTGCCCTGCAGGGCTTGGCCCATTTATAACTTCCTAGACACTTCTGCTCTGACCACTCTGTACGCAGCCCTTCTGGCTTTCTCAGTTGTTCCCCTGACCTTCGACCCTAGAATGAGTGCTGAGCGTTGGAAGGGGCCGGCCGAGGGCGGGGTTAGGAAGGCCTGCCCGTTAGGAAGGATTTGACATTTTTAAATGGTTGGAAGAGTCCAAAGAAGACTGTCTCATTTCACATGAAGATTGTGTGAAATTGATGTGTCAGTAAAGCTGCGCTGCAGCCCAGTCCCCGCCCGCGGAGCTGGCAGAGCCTGGCCTGGGCCTTCCTTGGACCAGCTTGCTGACCCCGCACCCTGACGCCCGAGGTGCCGGCTTGTGACCCTGCCTGCCGTCCCAGAGCCCCAGAGACCATAAGTTCTCTACCGTGTCCTGGACCCACTGAGGTGTCATGGTGCTTGGGGGAGGATCCCCTCCCGTGGCCCACAGTCACATGATGGTTGGTGGAGGAGGGACAGATGGCTGCCCAGCGCACTGGCGTTTGGGAGAAGCAGAGAACATGAGGTGGGGTGTCTGGGGAGGGGTTGATGCTGGGGGTGCTTGGAGCGAATGAGGAGACTGTGGGGCCGTTAGGGAAGCTACGTGTCCTCTGTTCTGTTTGTTAAGATGGCAACAATGTGCATTTCCACCTTGCTTTCCACGAACATTTCCGCCGTTTGGGGCAGGGGCTTGGTGAGATGAGCCCCTTCTGACCGCGTGAGGTGAAGTGGTCCGGGCAGGTCCTCGGGAATTCTGCGTGTCTGCCTGAATCTTGCTCTTCAGGCTGCAGGTCTAAGGTGAGGACCACAGCCGGAGCCACCAGCCCACCACGGGCACGGCTCACCCACAGAGCTGGCTCGGGGGACACTAGGTGGCACGCGAAGCCCAGTAGTGGACATGTGGTGGCCCACATGCAGGTCTCCAGGGGCTGCAGGTGGCAGACCCTTTCCTGTCTTCAATCTGATGGCATCTGATGACACTCGGACGCCCATCCTGTCCTGACCTCCTGGGAAGGGCCACCCCCAAGGGCCAGCACCGCTGTCAGCTTTCAGAGGATGGACCTCATTGCCTGCCTGTCTGTCCTGCCGCCTTGACCACTCTTTCCTCCAGACTCCTGTTCTCTGGCGCCATCAGGCTCTGGATTTCTTTGGCCCGACGTTGAAATGCTGTTGGGTTTGCTGGGATCAGATTGGGCTGTTCCCACGGGGACATGGCCCTCAGTCACCACGTAAACGCGTTTCAGTGAAACCCTTGGAAGCACAGCTCGTGTAGGACTGATTTCGGGCAACAAACCTAAGTTTCTGAGAACTGCTTCTAAGTTAATGATGTGATACACACAGAGCACAGGCACTAAAATTTTTGCAAAAAACATCATTAAAATGGTCTCCAACCTTTGCTTTCTAGGTGATTGAAAACTTGGCCTCAAAAAAAAAAAATTCGCTAGTTACGGTAAGCTCTTTTCCTCTCTGCATGTTTTTCCTGACCATTTGTGGAGCTGCTGAGGGGCCTAAGGAGGGAGCTTGGGGCTGCAGGGGAGCAGGTGGGGAGTCAGCCCTTGAGGGGGGTGAGGTTCGGCCCCTTAGACACGCCCTCCCTCACTGTAGAACACAGGGCAGGTCAGAAGCTTAAGTCACTTGAGAGATGGAGAAGCCATTTCTTCACACAGCCCTACCTGAGGGCCTGAGGGAGGGGGCCCTTCCCAAGGCCCCTGTCCTTGAGATTTGCCCACCCTGCACTTGTTTCAGGCAAGTGCTTGACCTGAATGAGGTTTGGGTGCTTTTTTACAGCAAAGCCTCGAGCATCATCTCCAGGCCTGGGGCTCAGTGGCCCCGGTGGGGGTGGGGTGGGGGGAGTGGTCACTCTCCGGAGGGACTTTTCGTCCAAATGTGTGACTTCTCATCAGCAAGGTGAGGTTTGAGTGAACTGTCTACAGAAGACTACTTTGCGGTCAGTTAACACTTACCAGCATGTCCTCAAGGGGAAGCGCTGAGCCACGTTAAGGAATTCAGACTTTCTTCCTAGGGCGGCCGCTCTGAGTGCCCAGGAGAGGGCGCCCTCCCCACTGGCTTCCCACCTGCTGCCCTGGGGGAGGCCAGAGGCCTTTCCCAGAGACCCGGGGCACCTGCGAAGGGGCGGGGGGAGTGAGTGGAAAAGAGACAGCCCACCTGGGGCTCACCAGGCCCTGGGTTCCACCTCCTGCCTCCCGACTGCTGACGAGCTGCCTCTTGTCTTTCAGATTCACGTGTTCAACAGAAGCCATCCCCAACCCAGCTTAAATTATAAATAGAGAAAATAACTTTGTTCAAATCTGCGTGGTGCTTCTTTAGTAAATACTGTACAGATTTTACCATGGAGGACTTTTTTTTTTTTTTTTAGTTTTTACCTTTTCTTAATTACCCTTATTCCAAACGGATGAACACTTTCTACAACTGCTGACCATTGTAAAATACTGTGTATATAAATCACATTGAAAATAACGCCCTGGACTAGAACATCTCAAATGCTGCTTAATCACAGACTCAGGTTGATCACTCGTATTCCATGCAATGCTCCTCCAAGTTAGATATCCGGTGCAAGACCAACCGGGAAACCATGGAATTATTAAAAGTACAAACTGACAGCGTGTATATTTAATTTAAAGACTTATTTAAAGATTCACAAGCTCTCAACTAGACTTTTGAGAGCAGTCTGTTTTCTGTAATGTCTGATACTAGAAACTAATTTGCTTCATATTTTAGTTGTATTCAAGATTTGAAGATGTATTTTATAGACAAGTTCTGTTTTTGAACTTTGTGGAACTATTCCAATCAATTTACCAGTTATGATGAGTATTTACATTATGAATGTATAATCCAAACATTATTTGTAAGGCCTACAGTATGTTTTTATTACATAACACTTTTTTATACAGTGTCTCGTCTTGACTATGATATTGGAGTCTGAGTTGTCAGCTTGGTCCCTTAAAGTTTCTAGTTACAGACAAAATCATACTGTGATTTTATTTTTAATATGGATATGCTATCAAACTGTGATACACTTATAATTCACTGGTCCTGCATCAGGAGATGGAGTGGGGAAAACTGTATTTAATACAGTTTGTATCTGAATAATCTGTATGGTTTATACAGTTTGTGTTGTTCAGAGATGTCTAAAGTTTGATCTTTGTTTTTTTAAAGATTAAAAAAGCACTTGCCCCACTGTAAATATACAGCATGTAAAATTTATATAGTATATAAATGGCAGCAAATTAAACCTTTTGTGTCTTATTTTTTTTTTTACTGCTGTTTCCGCATTTGCTTGCAGACACTTCTCACAGACTTCTTTCTCTGCATTTACTTTCTTAAAACTTCTAAAGCTCCAGCCACGGGCTCTCAGCCCCACCAGTGAGAGAGTCAGGCGTGGGCTGCTTCACCCAACAGTCCCCCTATTTTAAAGAACCCAGCTGTAAGCAATCTTATTTTAACAATGTGTTTTTATTTAATGAACACAGTATTTGCCATTTGACAGCCATACACTCTGCAGGTTTACCATTCACTTTACAACAAAATTATCAATAGATAAAGGATATTTCTTCATGCACATTGTAGGAGTATATACACTGAATAACAAACACTCCAGAAGTCAACATATATGTACATTATTTACATATTAACTATTTACTGTAAATAGAAATGTTTTCTAAGAAAAAATAAAACAAGAAATCACAATGTGTGGTTTCTGGTCTACAACAGACCTAACTTGTCAGCAAAGCACATCTATGTAGATATATGCATTTTAGCTTGAAAAATATGCATTGCTTTATATGCAGCGTTAAATGCTGCTTCATCTATAAATAGCTCCTATTTGGACTTCGTTTGGTACCACATTAAACTGCTCAAGGATGTTCTGTGATCCTGAAGACACCTGCCTGTCTGGGCACAGGGTCATCCACTTAAACCCCACGTGTCAATGGGGGCAAGTAGGGCTGTGGAAGCCATGCCTCCCACCCAGCAGACCTTCCCTGCCTCCTGCCCTCTTTCTCTGCAGGTAAGCTCTTTGGCCAGAGTTGGGATAAGACGAGTAATTCAAGCACTGAGCGCAAACGGGAGGGTAGCAGGGGGGTGAACAGGATCACACTGAGGTCCAGGCCCGCCGGCCACAGACCTGTCCCCACACAGCCCTGACCCAGCGGGGCTTCTGGACCAGGCCATCTGAGGGCTTAGTGCGGGGAGGACACCTCAGGCCTGTCAGGTCAATACTGTCACACAAAACCTGGGATTCCATGACTTCACGTAACACTCCTGGAGCAAGGGGCAGATCCTGAGCACCATGGCCTTCTGCATCATCCCGGGCAAACAGCCGTCTGGTAAGGCTCCTTCACAAGTGGTCAGAGAAGGATTTTACAGAGGTTTCCTTCTGCTCACTTCTCTCAACCCCACCCTGATGCAAACCCAAAAGACAGAAAGTCCTGTATCCCCAGGGTCCTACCTGGATCAGACAAAGGAGAGATCAGTTGTCCCACGCAAAATACTGATGGAGCCGGTGGCCCAGGCAACCCAGGAGTGGGGCCGGCCCAAGGGGAGGGCGCTGCCGGTCGTCGTCAGCAGTGTTTGGTCGGATGGTCTGGGCAGCGTCTTTTCACGGAAGACGGGCCAGAGTTGCATATATGCCAGTCAGGCGTTTCAAGAATGCTGACTTGCCTTTCTCAGAACTAGAGGTTTGAATCTGAGGTATCGGTACAGTAGCAAAGCCTGAACACTTGGGAATGAACCAAAAAAGTCAGTTTGATGCCTGGTGGAGAATCCTGTGCGTGGCCCCCTTTGCAGTCTAGTGTGACTTTAAGCTGCACAAGGCTGAGGGCCCACAGCCATTCCGTCTCAGCCTCAAGGCAACTCCTAGGAAACATTTTCTCTGTTTTACCTCTCCACACATAGACTAAGGTGGTCTTTCTTGAACTTGACCTTTGCACAGGAGAGGTGATGACCTCTCAAATGTGCAAAATGAACAGGGTGGGTGCCTTCGCGGTGGGGCAGGGAAAGTAGGGTCCCCCAGGGAAGGGACCCTCCACCGAAACAGCCCATGTGGGCGAGGGAGTCCATATAATGTGCGGAGGTCCTGGTGGTGGAAATGAAACTTAGAATAAAAAGCATGTCACTGGCCCCGCCCTGAATGTCCCACCTGTGCACCCCTGGGCCATCTCTGCGGCGTGATGGACCCAGCTCCTCACCGCACGCTTGAGCACCTCTCATTCAGCCAGCAGCACCTGACAACCTCCTGGTCAGGGATCTTCTCCAGTCCGACCACCAGTGCGTGTTTGGGGTTTTAAACTATTTACAGAAAAGCCTACGTGCTATACACCTTCATCCGCCAGCCTGCTCTTTCCCTTCCTGTAATAGATCAAATCTCTCAAAACATGGAGGAAGATCAATTATCTCCAGTTCCTTACATGTCTACACATTACATTAATACATCTGATCGAATCATTATAACCATTCGTTTGGCCAACAGGCCTTAAGTAGTGAAGACAGTGGTCACAGCTGGCCTGAACCATGTGTTTGGTTGGACCACGTGACACTGCTATTTGTGGGTGTCAGAAACGGGTCAAATGTGAGTGAGCAGTTTCATGTGGTTCAATACATACACTGTCCGTCCTGGGATTCAGCAGTTACAGGATAAACACCCCAAACCAAAATTTAATGATTTGTGTCTTTAGAAAAGTTATCTGTAGGGCCATGAAGACTGAGTTGGATGACTGAAAAGACTGGACCCCACTGGACCCCTACCCAGTGCGTGTCCTCAAGGACACGGGAGTCTCCCCCCCACCAGGGGGCGCCCTCGGGTTCCCCTTGAGCGCGGCACCCAGCTCCCCAGCTGCTGCGTGTGTGTGTATATGTAACTTGTTCTCAGTGCACAGTATATACGTGTGTCCAGAAGTTAAATTTATAGCTGCCATTCTAAAAATACTACTGTTAGAAAGTATCTTTCATTATAATTTCAGAATATAAAAAGGCGTATAAAAGCTATAATCCTATATATCTGAGAAAAAAACTCAATAAAAAAGTGGTAGCTTTTCCTTTCCTGTTATGATACAAAACAGCGGCTTCCAGAACGGCCAACACCGCCACCACCACCAAGGAGCACATGTGGCCTCTTGTCTGCCCCGCGGATATTCAAGGCTGGACCACCAGGCGCAGCTGCTGGCCGGGCCTTCGAGAAGGATGTCCTTGGAGCCGGGAGGGTGGCGGCGGAAAGGGGCGACAGGGCCTCTTGAGATCAGCAGGGGCTGCTGTCCCGGAAGAGACAGGGCAGGCCGTTGGGGTGGTCCAGGGTGTCGCGGGGAGCCCCCCAGTCACTCTGCTGTGGGGTTTGAGTTTACTTTTACCTGCTGCTCAGACCAGGAAAGCACTATTTCTTATTGGCAATCCTCCTTTTCCTCGTGGCCAACATGTCATAGAAAGGATCCCTGCTGATACTCGCTCTGGGAGAGAGAGGATAAAAACACTGGTTTAGGGTGGGAGGGGCAGTCCCTACGCACAAGGCCCCATCCCTCAAGGGCGACCCCCCACCCCAGGCCCCGCCTCGGCGGGCCCGGGCGCACCTGATGGACTTCATCCACTCCTCCTTCTCCTCCGGGCTGGGCGCCGAGATGCGGTACACTACGTGGTTGCCCTCCACTACCCGGCCGTCCGCCTCTGTCTTACAGGCTTTGATGACCTGCCCTTTGTGGCTGGGGTTGTACAGCTCGAAACAGTTCTGGTGGAGACAGACAGGGCTGTCACCAGGCGCTGGGGGAGCGGGAGAGAAAGGAGGGCGGCGGGGAAGCCAGCTTACGGGTTTCCGCGGGTCCTCCACCTCCCTGATGCTCAGGTTCTCCAGTGGGATGATTCCCCGGGGCTCCTTATCCTGCGGGACAAGAGTGCTCAGCCAGTCTCCCCCCAACCCACCCACCGAGGGTCCCGAGACCTGGAGGACCCGCAGCCCCGCGCTTACCGTCGTGTATTCAAAGTAATAGAGGCAGTTGTCGGTGAGGATGAACCAGCGCCGCTTCCAGGTCTTCACGCGCCCCCCTAAGAGCAGAGGGACCCCGTGAGTCTGGGCAACGCAGGCCCTACACGAGCTACTGTGCTTTTCAGAAACGCCACTGGGGCCGAGCTGGGTTTTAGGCTTCCTCCTTAGTGAAAACGTTTCACGTTCTGCCCCAGATCCTGGCCACGGTGTGCGGCCTGGCCCGCCCGTGGCTGCCGGAACCCGCATGCACCCCCGCCCGCCTGCAGGGCACCCAGATGACCCGAGCGTTTCCCAAGTCTGCTTCCTGCAAGAGTTAGTCGTGATGAATGGTCTTAATTTCCCCATATGGAAATGACAACAGGATGAAGTCAGCGCCGCTGCCGGTCTGTCCAGGACTTAATCCCGTTACGTCAGGGCTGTCATCACATTACTGAGGACTTGGGGCAGCCCTGGGATGCATCAAAATCGATTATGGCCTTGGCCCAGGGAATTATTAGATTGAATTAATCTCTTAACAAGATCTGGGACACACACATACACACACAGCTCATCTGCACCTACTCTCCTTATACTACAGAAAAGAAAATCTTTTACCCTCAAATACTCAGCAGAAACCAACTGGCTTCCATTTCTATCTCTAGTCTCTGCTTCTGACATGAAGTGTAAAAACAGAAGTTGAGAGACAGAACATGCCCCTGGTGACAGACGTCTGCGATCCACTGGCACGAGCTAAGCAGCGGCTGCCCGGCCCCCTGGCTCCCCTGGGGCAGGCAGGTGAGACCCTCATGGCTGAGGGTCACAGACCTGGTCCCTGCTGCGGGGAGCTTGAGGAGCCCAGACAGGGATGGGGGGGACATGAAGGCTGTCTGGGAATCAAGGCATAAGGGCTGACATTTGGGGAGATCTGCGGGAAGGAGACACATGCGGACACCCAGCCGCAGGGAGGGGGCCCCGCCTGTGGTTTCAGTGCCACTGAGGGGTCCTCGAAGACTGGGACCCTCACCCTTGGGTCACTGATGAGACATCTGTCCTCATGATGGCCACAGGCTGGCTGGGCAGCAGCCTCAGTCATGCTGTGAAGAGGGTCCCCAGGATCCCCCACTCCCCTAATCTCACTTTCCATCCCTGTCAGAAGCATCTGTCCAAACTCCGCTGTCCTTGGGGGCCCTCAGACCCTGAGGCCCCTTCATGCCTCCCACCCCCAAGGCCTCTGCCTCCATCCCCTCGAGGTGTTGTCTTGAACCATGGGCAAGTCTCTCTGTTCTCCTGGAAGGCCTCTCAGCTCTTCTGCACCTAGAATCCTGCCCTGCTACACCCAAGTTCAGTGGCACGTCTGGAGGAGCCCAACCCCTGGTCCAGCTCTTGAGACCAGGTGAGCCTCTTGGGCCAGGGGCAGTGGGCATTGAGACAGAGGTGTGTGGTCAGGTGGACCCCTGAGCCTGGCCCAGCCCCGGGCCCTTTCAAGGTGGCGGCAGTGACACTCTTCGTCTCTGAGCTCCAGCAGGTTTTGCTACAGGAGACGGAGCAGCTCTGCTCATGTGTGTATTTGTGGCTGGGCTTTGGAACAAGGGGACACACACACAGACACACACACACACCCCTGCAGAAGCAGCCTGGCTTCTCCTGACTAGTATGGATAGAAGCAGCCCTTTTCTCTTTGTAAACACCTGCTGCCTGCATGGTTGTTAGCAGACACAGGCTCTCGTGCATACCACGCAAGCCTCTTCTCCATGCCAGCTCTGCGCCAACCACACTCCTGTCTGTATTAACACAACTGACTCACTCTCAAAACACAGTGACTACACGGTATTTACAGGACCATCATTAAGCACCATCACCAGGCTCTGCTCTGGCGGGGCACCTCTAAGCACCATCTCCTCTAAGATTAACTTACGACAACAAACCCCCAAGCAAGGTCACGCTGGGACCTCCAGTTCCTAACCTAGCAGGTGCGTGGACACAGTTCTGACTTCTCTGCCTGCGTGTGCAGGCCGTTCAGGGACCCAGGGATGTGTGTCCTCACCAAGTACAAGTGTGCACCCAGGCCCAGCCTAACACGCCCTCAGCACCCGCCTCCTGGATCCCTAGGGGACCGACACCCAGGGACCCTTCGCGGGGTCAGAACCACAAGCAGGAATCTGGCGCGCTGACCAGTTGGCCGTGTGCTGGACACCCAGGGGGATGCTAACAGCTCAGAGCAGAGCGGCCCCGGGGGCTGAGGCTCCGGGCTGCAGGTGAGACCTGTGCCATCAACCAGCTCTGTAGCCCTCAGCCTTGGGCCTGAGGACACAGCGGGGGGCACGGGAGGGGGGGGCAGCAGACCCCAGGCCCCTGGGACACCCCCGGGCACTAACCGGCCCTGTGCCTCATGTTGGCGCTCTCCCCCAACGCTGCGGTCCGGTTATCTGCACGACCAGATGACAGGCTGGAACACAAGCCCTGGTGACAGACATCTGGTTCAGTCTTTAGAGCCACCCGGCTGGCACTGGGGGCACCCTGGCTGCCAGGAGGGCCTGTGCTGTCACCATCCCGGGGGGCACTTGCTGGCAACACACAACAGGAAAGGTCCAACTGCAGCTGCTGCTCTTCTGGGCACCTTCCTGTGCCCTCATCCCAGGCTCCCAGGCTGGATGGGATCTCAAAGCCTGGTGCATCTGGAAGGTCACTCGGGCATTACTCAGGGCCATTGCTATGGTTCTGGCTTTTTAGGCAAAGATCCAGAAGTCTTCCAAACCCTGGCACAGCCAGAGAAAGATCAGAGCTGGATCCCAAATCAGGACAGCCGCCCTGTGCTACACACCCTTACACCGGCCACACTGTCACCAGACCCATGTTCATCCTCTCTCGGTTAAAGACTCAAATCACCAGCATTCCTGTAGGCCCCGGTGTCCAACACACTGTATGCAGTGCCTGCGTCATCTGCCTCATCTCACAGGCTCTATTGTCACCAGAAGGAGGAATCTCAACCCCCACCAGAATGAAAGCTCCCTACCAATCCCTAAGATGGCCCAGAAAATATAAATGCTCTTCTGCTTGTTTGTCAATAGGCAAGAAGTTCTTAACACGCTTCTCCCATCCGAGTACTAACCAGACCTGGCCCTGCTTAGCTTCCGAGGTCAGACAAGAGCACCCGCGTTCTAACACACGCGCCTGGACTCTGCACAGGTGGTGCAAACACGCACCGCCTGGTTAGCGGGATGGGCGGCGGGCGATGCGCTCAGGCCCAAGGACGCGGAGGGGCGAGCTGGTCTCCGCTCGGCATCTCCACGGGCCTCGGTCCCTCACTCCTCGCCCAGCCGCGGAGGGGCGACGCGGCCGCGGCACCTGGCCCTGCGTGGAGGATGAAGTGAGCCCGGCACGTCAGAAGCCACGAGGGCCAGATGGATGGCAGGCAAGTCGGAGCTTCACACGAACCGACAGAGAGAGGAGAGAAGAGGGCAGCTGGCAAGGAGCAGGAAGCCGCTGGGTACGTACCTCCTAACGCAGGACAAGCAGGGACAGCCCGTCACAGAACAGAAAGGTGGGAGCCACAGGCAGAAGGAAAACAACAAGAAGGCACATTTAAACCACGCATCAAAAGTCAGCCACACCGAAACAAGAGAGGCGGCGGGCGCCCGGGGGTCGGCGCTGCCGCAGGAGCAGACCCCACGGCGGGCGCGCCTGGCCGCTAGGGGGCGGTGTGCGGGGACCTCGGGGAGGCGCTCCGGGCACCGCGGGGGCTGCGGCGCGGGCGGGCGCAGGCAGAAGGGGCCACGGCGGGGTCCCGCCCCCGGCACCGCGGCTCACCCAGCTTCAGGAGCCAGCCCTCCCGGTCGGGGTTGAAGAACGTGTGCGTCAGGTCGTTGCCGTCGTCCTCGGGGATCTTGAACGGCTCATTCTTGATGCTCTCGTACAGGTTCTGAGCAGGGAGGGGGCGGTGGGGGGCTCAGGCCAAGCGCGACCAGCCACCCCGCAAAGCCCCCAGGGGCGCGCCCGGCGACTCTCTAAAGGCCGTCAACTTGGGAGCAAGGGCAGGGCCTGACGGTCCTGAGCACAGAGGTGGGGACGGGACGAGGGGGACACGGGGGGCGGGGACAGGGGACATGGGGAGGGGGCACGGGGAGGAGGGGGACACGGCGGGGCGGCTCACCCGCAGCAGCTCCTCGGGGAGGTCCCCGCCCTCGTTGATGCCACGGTTCATGGTGACAAAGCGCTCGGCGGTGGGCTTGTCGCGCACATTGTGATTGTGGAGGCTGGTGTTGAGCATGATGATGGCGAAGGATAGCACGTAGCATGTGTCTGGGGGGTCAGCGCCGCGGGCCGTCAGCGCCGGCCCAGCCTGGGCAAGCCCACACATCGCCCACCCACCGCGCTCCCACGGCGCGCACTCACCCGTGGACTGGAAGACGCCGGGGTTGCAGAGGCAGTAGCGAGCAGCGAAGGCCTCCATCATGCGGTCGATCTTCTGGGCCTCGCCCGGCAGCCTGAAGCTCCAGAGGAACTGCCTGCAGGGGCGCGAACCCGGGGAGAGGGGTGGTGGGCCTCTCCAAGACCAGAGGCCCCGTCCAGGCAGCAGCAGCGCGCTGACCCCCTGGACACAGAGGCGCCCCCGCTGTCTGCACTCCCCACCCACCTGCGGGAGCCCTCGCGGCTGATGGAGAGAACAGGGTCCTCGTGGCCGCACCCCAGACTTGCCAGGCCTGCCCCTCCCCGTGATACAGTTTTCAAAACACGGAATCTAAAACTGGACCCGCCCGAGCAGCCTTCAGGCAAGGCCAGGGGCTGAGCCCACAGCAAGGCAGCGGCCACCTCGGTCCACGGCTGGGGGAGCAGTCACCAGGAGGGGGCGCTGTGGCAGAGGACACCGGAGGCGGGCTGAGGGCAGCACCCGCCAGCGAGGCTGGGAGCGCGGGCCAGGGCGGCCTGCCGGGCACACGCCGGGCCTCCACGCGGTGAGTGGGCAAAGCCAAATGTGGCGTCGTGGGCCCAGGCCTAGTGGCACTGAGACTGCACCCAGAAGTGGGAAGGGGGGGCACCCACAGCTGCCAAAGACCAGGCAGAGCGACCGGGAGCGGGGCAGAACCTGGGCCACGAGGAGGCAGGGGAGGCCCGTCCCCCGTTCCTCCCTCCGGCAGCTGGACTTACCCGGAGGGTCACCGGCCGGCACTGCCGGGCCACTCGCCCACCCAGCCTCCCTTCATGCGGAGGGGATAAACGCTCACCTTAAGGCTTGTACGAGGTTGAGATCAGCAAACTCGTGGAGTTCCACGAAAGCCTGAAGAACTTTAATGTTAAATTCATCCCTAGAAAAGAAAATGGACTTTACAGCCTCACTGCATGTCATTTCAGTCGTTTTATTAGACATTTCCTAAAGCAAGTGTTCAAGAGATTTATAATGTCATATGACTAAAAGACAAGTTATTTTTCACGGTGCGTTTGTTTTCAGGCTGAGCACAAAGGAGACCCAGTAGGATGTGGCGTTTACGTCACAATCAGTACGAGTCAGGAGAAGACCCCAAATACGAGCCCGACTGCCAAGGTTCAGAGTCCCCTGTGCGGAGCACTAAGGCGCCCACCCAGGTGCATGGTGCAGTCTCAAGCTCAGGGCCACCACGAAGCAGGCGCTAGTCCCGTTCCCGCCTCCCAGGTGGGATTCTAAGGCTCAGAGCCAGGAAACGGCTCCTCCAGGGTCACGAGCCAGAAGGCGAGGTCCTGGGCTCAGAGAGGAAGACGGTTTGGAAGTGATGCCTGCCATTAATAACTAGCTTTTACAAACTAAACCGAGCAGAGTTTAGTAGAATATCAGTAGAGTTACTCGGTCACATGGTAAGTTCACTATTTGGAAGAACTGCCGATGACTTTCCAAAATGGTTGTCTGTTGTTTTCTTTATAGCCACGTATGAGGGTTCCAATTTCTCCACATCTTCACCAACATTTATGATCTTCTGTAATGACAGCCATTCCTAGTGGATGTGAACAGCTACCTCACCACGGTTTTGACTGCATTTCCCTGATGACTCATGATGTTGAGCATCTCGCCATGTGCTTTCTGGCCACTGTGCTTGTGGCCTTGTCACACTGTGCTTGTGGCCTGTGTGTTCTGGCTGCACGGGCGCTTTGCTGCAGTGCGCGAGGAACAAGCTTAGTTGCCCCATGGCACGTGGGTTCTTCATTCCCCAACGAGGGACTGAACCTGTGTCCCCTGTGCTGGACCACCAGGAAGTCCCCTACCATACACCTATGCATGTATATCCTCTGGATGAATGTCTATTCAGACCCTTTGCCCACTGGACGACTTTTTATGACTGAGTTATAAGAATTCTTTTTATAATATACCGGATACAAGTCCTGATCAGATTTATTTCTGATCTACAAATACTTCTTCCTATCCTGTGGGCTGTCTTCTCCCTTTCTTGATGATGTCCTACGAAGCAACTGATATTTTGGAATTTAATGATTCTGTTTTTCTCTTTTGCTGTCATATCTAAGAGACCTTGGCCTAATCGGAGGTCAGAGAGATTTATCACCAGGTTTTCTTCTTACAGTTTCAGTGCTTGTGTCTAGGTCTTTGGTGAGCGATCCGGAGCCGTTTTTCTGCGTGTGGATATCCAGCAGTCTCAGCACCGTGTGCTTGAGGGACTATCTCCCCCACCCAAACAGACTTGGCACCTCCTTTGATGGTCTATGTGAGGGTCTATTTCTGGATTCTCAACTCTGTTCCATGACCTATATGTCTGTTCTTACACCAGCACACCAGACTTTCTTCATTAGTGAAGCTTTTAGTCTGTTTTCTAATTGGGAAGTGTACGTTTTCCAACTTTGTTCTTCTTTTCCAAGACGGTTGTGGCTATTCTGGGTTCCTTGAATTTCTGTATGAATTATGGGATGAGCTTGTCAACTTCTACAAAGAAATTAGCCTGGGTTTTTGCTAGGGAGCATGTTAAATTTGCTTATCAAGATGTAGGCAGTTGCCATGTTTGCAACATTAAGTGTTCCTCATACCCCCAGCTAACGGGGGCAAGACAACCGCTGAGAGCGCCGAGGCTTCTGTGCCAAACATGCCAAGAAGGTCACGATGCTTTCTGGGTTGAGCAGCGGCCTCCTGGGTTCTGCCCCAGTCCCCGGGGTGAGCAGAGCACCCCAGAGGAGCACAGACCCCACCTGGCCCCAGGACTGCCCCCTGGCCACAAGGACACGGCCCACGTGACAGACCCTGATGCAAGGGTTGACCTGGGCAGGCGGGTGGCCCCCTCCCCTTGAACGCACCTCTCACCCAGGTAGTCCCCGATGACGGTCTTATTCAGGCCTTCCCCTTTATACAGGAACTGGGCCACGTCCTCTGGGGAGCTCTGCAGCAGGTCGTTCTCGATTAGAAACTGGATTCCCTGGAGAGGAGATGAAGGAAGCAGCGCTGAGGAAGGTCCAGAGACCACTGGTTCGGACACAGCCGAACTGACATGAGAGCACGGTGGGGTGCCCCCATCGCCGAAGTCATCTCAGCCGTCACAGCAAAGTGCTTCCAGGCCTCCTGGCGAGCGGCTGGGCTAAGGACAGACAGGCTGCGGAGCAAGCCCTCCTAAGTGTCAGCAGACATTATTAAGGCAGAAGGAGCCACAACACAGAGCCTCCCCAGCTCAGGAAAAGGGCCCGCGCTGCGTGTGAGAGGAGCTCGTCGTACGCGGCTGGCCAACCCAACGCCGGTCCCAAGCACCCCTCCCTATCCTCCCCTCCAACTTGAAATGACCTCATGAACAGATCGGGTCAAAGAGACAGATGAAGTCTGTGCGGAGGACCCGGGAGAGCTGCTCATTTTCTGATAAAAGGGGACTCCTGAGCAGCACGGCTCCTTCCTCCTCCTTCCTGCCGTGAATGCAGACGTGATGGCAGGAGCCCTGGCAGCCAGCACGTAGGGAAATGCCAGGAAGAACACAGAACCCTGGGTCCTGCCACCAGGGAGCCACTCGATGCTGTGAGCCACCTCTGCTGTGAGAAGACAGCCTGCGGTGTAAGCTGTCTTCATGGATGTCCTGCCACTGTGGCTGAACACACAATCGGCCACTGAGCTCAGGCAGTCAAATCCACACCCACGGGGGACCTACGGGAACCGGCCAACAGTCTCTACGAGTGCCTGCTGGGCCCAAGCTAGCAGTGCTCTGGCTCGCGGGAAGCCCAATGAGAGCAAAAGTCTACCTCTGACACAGCTTCTGAGCTGGTTTCAAAACACACATTAGAAAGCTTTTAAAGGAAGAGGGAATTCTGCTGTCTATTTGCCCCAGAGGTTGTTTCTACAAATGCAGAGATGGCCTTCCAGCTAAAAGTCTAAAGGCCCAAGGCCAGGGCTCCCTCGCACGATCCATCTGAAAAGTCTATTAATTTTTTAAACCCATGAACGTCCCCAACAGCCTCATTTGGAATTTTTAAAAACTGGCAACAACCCAGCAGTCAGTCAGAGAACCATCAAGTATATTCTAGCACATTCACATGATGGAAGACCACAGAACCCAATCGAGTAAACACAGACACGGACAAAACCCACAGACGTGACACGGGGTAAGAAGACTCAGTATACTGTAATTCCACCTATGTAAACTTTTAAAAAGCCAACACTCAGGTGCCCTGCATCTTGGTCTGGGTTGTAGTTACACATGTATTTGCATTTGTTAAAATTCTTCAAGCTGTACGTTTAAAATCTGTGCACCATGTTATTCTTCAAAAGAAAAAAAAGTTTACTTTAGAAACCCAGTAAGTCTGACAGTCCTAAATTAACTGCCCTATATTTCTGGTGGGAGCTTAAGTGGGTACAGCCACCTGGGTATCATTTTCAGAGTGTGAAGACACACGCCGGGACAGAGCGTTCTGATGAGAGGTTGAGCCCTGTCTTCACCCAGATTCCTGGAAAACAACGCCGGAGACGAGGGCACTGAGCAGGTGAGGGACGGAGAGAGGCGAGGGAGGCGTGCTGGGCAGAGGCTGTCTGACCTCAAATCCATGCCACGGGGTCAGAGGCAGGGCCGCCCCCCCACGGCCTTGCTGGTTCCTCATCGTGAGGACTCGGCGGGCTGTGGGCGAGACGGTAGACTCTGTGCCCCCCACACTGCAGGGAGCCGGGGCGAGGGCCCCCCGAGGTCCAGGACACAGACCGGCGGGAGCTCCCTGGGGCGCAGGTCCCTGTGACCACCATGGCTGTGATACCGGCGAGGGTGGTGCCCAGCGGCCACCCGTGCCAGCCCCCGCAGCGGCTGCCTCCCTGCTGGGGGTGCCCGTGGCCGTGGGCCCGTGGTGAGGCCGTGGCCGCGGGACTTTACTGTGAGCTCGGGCTTCTTCGCTCTCTTCTTTTCCGGCTGTGCTGCCGGGCGTGATCTTAGTTCCCTGACAGAGACTGAACCCCCGCGCCCCGCCACCCCACCCCCACAGTGAACGCATGGAGTCTTAACCACTGGGCCACCTGGGAAAAGGCCTTTTTAATCCGGCACCTCGCCCATGGGTTCTGGCTTAGACGTGTACTATCCCAATGACTCCGTTTCTGAAGATCAGAGAAGGTCTTAGTGGTGAATGTAAATCACTTTTCCAGAGACTGTGGAAAACATTATTTCATCCTTGATTCAGTGAAGCTGAGGACAAGGTGGCCATGATTTTCATTTCTTCTTAGAGAGGCTGGTCTTTCCCTAGAAATTTCGTGAGCTTCTCTTTATGCCCAAGTTTCCTGATATTTCACTCAATACAGTGACGTGTGCAGGTCTTTTAAAACCGTATATTCCGCTTGGCATTTGGTGAGCCCTTTCAGTCTGAGGAGCTGATCTTCCTCCAGTTCTGAAATGTTCCACTAGTTCTCTGGAACCAGAAGGGCGCTGGAGGGACTAAGCGCTTCCTCCGCACAGCTCCTGACAGTTACTTCTCAGTAAACTTTAGTCCTCGTTATTGCAGGCGTGACGCGGAGTGCATCGGATTCCTAGGCCCTGACAGCAAGCATCTCAGGCCAAGCAGGGACACCACCGTCAGCTGTCTGTTCTAAGAGGAAACCTGCCTCTCCACGAACTGGACGGCCTCCCCTGAGCTGCACCTAAACTGAAGGCCTGGTTTTTAAAACCTCCACCTGTTAGATCATCTCCCTCCCGTGCTTGTTACATCTACTCTGGAAACTCAACTTCCAAAGAGAAGGTAAAAAAAACCTCTTGTTACAAATCCCAAATACCAGATCATCACCAAACAAACCCCAAATACCAGATCATCACCAAGGTCACGAAACTGTTCCCCTGACGACCTGGAGTTGACTCACACCTTGTCAGCAGAGAATCAGGAAGCAACGGGCACGCTCTCACGGCGGCCTGAGCACGCAGCTGAGTGAGCCGCTCCTGCGCCTGCAGACGCGCTGCATCTGAAGACAAGTCCCTGTGGGGGCCCCCGCGCTGGGACTCACGGCGTGGCTGTCTGTAAAGAACCTGCACCCGGGCTCGTGCCTGGCCGCTTACCTTTTTGGGATCCATGTTGAACTTCTTCCTTCCCATGGCGATCTGCTTGTTCCTCTGAGTCGTTTTGCTGTGTGTGTGGAACAATGAAGAAGCTGTTACTGGACGTCTGCACAGAGCACGGGGAGTCCGTGTCCCCTCCTGACAGGACAGCTCGGGACGGAACAGGCAGAGCCCCCAGCGCCCCTGCCCGAGGGTCCCCCAGGCTCCCGGGTGGGTGCAGCTCAGGGCGGCCACGAGGCTCCTTCCTTTCCCGGTGATGGACTGCCGAGCAGCAGCAGAGCTCCCGGTTAGAGAGCGGGAACGTCGGGGCAGGGTGCTCCTGAGGGGCGTGTGCCGCGTCCTCGGCGCCAAGGCCAGACCGTGAGGGGTGCCGGAGAAGGGCCAGCCCCCCACAGGCGCCCCCCGCCCCCCCGCTGCCGTCGCCACGGCGGCCCGAGCTCGGCCGGACGCCGGGCTGGAGGGGCAGCCGCGGCCGCTCACCTCTCCTCCACCGACGTGAGGTTGTCGATCTCCGTCATCACTTCTGCGATTTCATACTTCAGCCTCTGTCGAGACAGACAGCGCGCTGTGAGGCTGACAGAGGGGCCTCCGCCTCCCGGAAACCTTTCAGGCCCCCAGGATCGAGCCGCCCTCGGGCGCGTCCGGACAACACAAGTGTGGAGACACCAGGACCTCTCGACAGAGAGCCTCCCAGTCAGCGCCACCCCGACTCGGGAGCAAACAAAATGACCGCCTGCCCACCTCCCATCAGAACGAGAGCAGAGGGGCCCCGCAGGCAGGGTCTAGAGGGCGTGTGTGTAAAACCACAGGGGTAAAAAGAGACACAGCGAAAGGAAGCAACAGGTCCTGCCACACGCCCACCTGCCATGGCTGGCACCCAGGTTCTCAGGATGGCCTGGGCCAGACAAACACAGGTCGGTACCAGGCCCCCAACCACCGTCTCTGGATGATTTCTGTCACCCTGGGTGAGACGAGGCACTGTGGACAGAGCCCAGGAGGCGGCAAGGTTCTTCCTGTGGCCTCAGGCAAGCCCAGGCCTCGCAGAGGGACGGGTCCTCCCGGCTGAGACAGCTCTGAGCTCCTGGGCCTTGGTGGCCTCAGCGCAGAAGTGAGCTCATGAGAAACACACGAGGCCCCGTGGGCACTGTGATCACGAACGTCCACATCGGAATGCAAGCCTTAAAACATACTTTCAACCAAAGACACATTCTGGGTTACCTGACTTTCCCAAGAATGACAGGTAACCACAGAAGAAAAAGTTTTCCAAACTCTCTTCTCAACTACAAGGAAATTTTTATTGAGACCCTATGATCTCAGGCGCCAGGACACTCCAGAGTCACACCGTGAGCGCCTACAAAAGAGCTGCTGTCTGGACACGGCTCGGTCCCACGGCCAGTGGCCGGGGAGGCGGAGTGGACTTGGGCTCGCCAGTGGTTAGGAAGCTGCTCAGAGAGCAGCCGCACGTCCGATCGGCTTCCCCAGGAAGCCGCTCCTCTGAATCATTCCTACAAATACCACAGGCGCACCAACTCGGAGGCTGTGGCTGACCCCCCTGCACCTCCGGTGGGAGCCTTCCCGTCCTTTGAGCTCACCAGGGTGGAAGGTGCAACGCCCGTCTGTGTTTATCTGTCCTTCTGCTCCCACTAGCTGGCAGATGCTGGGTGCATGGCCAGAGCTCGATATAGGTTTAGCCCTTTATTCGAAAGATCCCTGACTGCCAATAACCTGCGAGGCAGCGTCCTAGGTGCTGGGGACGCTGGTCAACGAGACAGGGCTCGTCCTACAATTTCCAAGCGCAGTACATGTGACGCCCTCTGTGACGCTGGAGTCAGGCATCACTGACTCTAGACTCCAGTCCTGCCTTCTCCTCCACCCCGGTGAGCACCAGTTCTGTTCCACCAGCCAAAGTAAGTCCTACTCCCTGCCTCCCCGTGTGGTTTGAATATGCACACACTAAATACCCACTTTTTCACATTTTCATGAAGCTACTCGATTTACAATTTTACCTAAGAGCAAAAGCGAAAAGACATTTTTTTCTTTTTACCTCGATGTCATCAATAAGTTCCTTTTTTCTTCGACGGATGTCTAAAAGTTCTTCTCTTTCTTCTAGTGAGAGGTCTTCAGGCACTGAAATTTTAAAAAATCAAATTAAGCAGTTAGACAACTCTGAAGAACAATCTGTAGATGTCCACTGAGGTTGAAGATGGGCATATGTGCAAGCTAGCAATTCTGTGCCCAGGTATTTATCCAAAGGAACCAAGGAACCTTCCCTTACAGACCACATGTAGAACACTCGTAGCAGCGCTGTTTTGAGAGAAAAACAATCTGAGTCGCCACTAATAAGAAAACAAATTGCGGCACAGTTATGAGACAGAATCCCACACAATTAACAATGGCTGAACTTAAGTCTTTCAACACAGATGAAACTCCCGATGAACGAAAAGAAGACAAAAGCAGCAGACACTGCATGTGAGTGACACCCTCCAGAGGGCTGAGGTGCATGGACAGCAGGGCACCAGCAAATGCACCGCAGTCAGGATTCCGGTCCTTCTGAGGAGGCTGGTGTGTGAGTGTGAGTGTGTGTGTGTGTGTGAGTGTGTGAGAGTGTGGGTGCAAGTGTGCGTGTGTGTGTGAGTGCGCGTGTGAGTGTATGTGTGTGTGTGAGTGTGTGTGTGTGAGTGTGTGTGTCTGTGTGTGTGAGTGTATGTGTGTGTGTGTGTGAGTGTGAGTGCGTGTGAGAGTGTGTGTGAGCATGTGACAGTGTGTGTGTAAGTGTGCGTGTGTGTGTGAGTGTGTCTGTGTGTGTGAGTGTGTGAGAGTGTGTGTGTGAGTGTGTGTGTGAGAGTGTGAGTGTGTGTATGTGTGTGTGTGAGAGTGTGTGTGCAAGTGTGCGTGTGCGTGTGTGTGTGAGTGAGTGTGAGTGCGTGTGAGAGTGTGTGTGAGCGTGTGACAGAGTGTGTGTCTAAGTGTGAGTGTGTGTGTCTGTGTGTGTGAGTGTATGTGTGTGAGTGTGTGTGTGAGTGTGTGTGTGAGTGTGAGTGTGTGTGTGTATGTGTGAGAGTGTGTGTGCAAGTGTGCGTGTGCGTGTGCGTGTGAGAGTGTGTGCAAGTGTGCGTGTGTGTGTGTCTGTGTGAGTGTATGTGTGTGTGAGAGTGTGAGTGTGTGTGTGAGTGAGTGTGAGTGCGTGTGAGAGTGTGTGTGTGTGAGTGTGAGAATGAGTGTGTGTGAGAGTGTGTGTGTGTGTATGAGAGTGTGTGTGTGTGTGAAAGTACATTCCAGAAGGATTGTGTGTGTGTGTGTGTGTGTGTGTGTACTGGTAGCTCAGTCATGTCCGACTCTGTGATCTCACAGACTGCAACCTGCTAGGCTTCTCTGTCCATGGGATTCTCCAGGGAAGGATACTGGAGGGGATTGCCATTCCCTTCTCCAGAGGATCTTCCCCACCCAGGGATTGAACCCAGGTCCCCAGCACTACAGGCAGATTCTTTACCATTTGAGCTACAGGGAAGGAGGATATTAGGAAGCGTCAACACAGTGGGTGAAGGTTGGCTGGTGCTCGGATATTTGTTAATTTTGACAGAGTTCTTCATAATATCCTGGTATTAAATGGTTAACCTCTGCAGCGTTTTCCATTCTCATGTCTATATTCTCTTTATTTTATGCTATAATTGACTTATTTCATAAAGCTTTTCAGAGAAACAGTCTTTGATTTTAATAATCCTCTACTCTGTGTTTAATTTCTATTTCATTAATTTAAAACAAACAAAATATTAAGAATCTAAGCAAATAGCAAGAGAACACAGAGCTTCTACAAAGTGAGATAGTGAGATCATGGCACAGGGGTAGGCAGCTGGGCCAGTGAAGTTGAAGACACGAGCCAGAAAGATACACAGGGACTTGGAGCAGCTTGGTTTAGCGCAGAGCTGACACCGCAGTTCAGAGAGACAGGGTGGACTCGATGCATGACGCGTGCTGTGTCAGTTATCTCCGTGTGAAAGAACGAAACTGAACCCTGACCATCGTCACACTTTTAATCAGTTCCAAGTAGAATAAAGGCTTAAATTCACATAATTTCTTATAAAGAAAGAATGTATTTATAAATTCAGAGTAGGAAATTGTTTCACACACCCTACACCCTCCCCCCGCCACCAAATAACTTTGAGAGCAGCCACTGTTATCCTAATTTTATAATCAGGGAAACAGGCCAAGAGACATCTAGTGATCTTCCCTGGTAGAGAAAGAATATTTGAAAAAGTAATGGCTAAAATGTCCTGTATTTGATAAAAGACATGAATATATGTATCCCAGGTGCTCAAGCTCCAAGCAGGATAAACCCAAAGATCCACAGGTCCCAGAGTATGTTACACATGGGCCCGGCAGCTCAAGAGTATCACTATGGACATGGTCTTTCCATCCTGGTGTCCAAAGTGTCAGGGTCATCCTAAAGCTGCTGCTAGCGGCTTCCAGCAGCTTCTTATTTACACATGGGTTGTGGGGGGGAGTACCCAGATCAAGAGAAAAAATGAGAACCAGCAGAAAATGCTGCTTCCAAAACCAAGACAGGAAAGATGTGGCAATCCTTGAATTTCCAAGGAATTACTCTTAGTAGCAAGCATCTTAATGTAATTAAGAAGGAAATCTGAAAGTAAAAAACCAGTTGGTTGACACTATCCTGTTATGAAAAATTAAATATACCTACAGAGAACAGACAGGGCTCCCAAAAGGAACCTTATAAGGGAAAAAAAAACCTGTTGTTCTGCTGAGTTCCGTGCAGACAGATGAGAACAAGAGTCTGAAAGGGTAGCGCTCTAGTTCAATCATCAATAGACTCTTTGGTTTAAGAAAACCCACCTCCAGCTTCCCCTCCAGCCCTGATGATGAGTAGGGTTGGCTGATTACAGAATGAAGGTACATCCTAAGAGAATCTAAACACAGGGGTGATTCAACTCAAGATCCTGAAGCTTCTAGCCATGATCGTCAATGGATTTCCTTGACCTTCTCTCAGTAATGCCCATCGTGTCCTATACCATTAAGGCCCTAAAGAGTTAAAGTACTGACCACTTACTTTACAGTTACTCTGACCAGAATTTTCACCTCTAAAAGAAAGACAGATTCTGTAAGGTGGAATAATGACATTGTGACAGTTAAAAAAATGTCCTTATTCACACTGTTGAACGACGAGCTGTGATGTTATTACATCCGTACTTAGAAATAGTTCAGCCAAAAATTAATTAAGCAAAATGGTAACAACTGGTAAATCTACTGGATTAATATATGGGTAGGCATTATCTATTTTATATTCTTAAGGGTTTAGAATTTTTCATAAGTTAAAAAAAAAAAGGTTTCAAGTACAAACGGCACCTTTTCAGGGTGTTTGGCTAAAGTATTAATGAGAAATAATAGGATGTTCCCTGGCACACTTCAAAGAATTAATAAATAGAACAGAAGCAGGTAATGAAATACTCAGGGCCAGTCTCTTCAAGCCGTCACTAAAACATCTCACTATCCTATTATTTCTATCACCACCCAAAATGCACGGTGAATACCAACATCCTGCTGGTAGTCAGGGAGAGTCTATCAGTATCTCTCAGCGTTCAAAAGAACTTTGCGATCAGACTCTGCTCATGCACAGGTGACCTCACACGCAAGCGCAATGGGGAAAAAACGGGGAGATAAGCCACGTTCAGAGAAGGTGTTCTTAATTATCACCATCTCTCCCACAACTCAGCAGCCTTCTCCTAGTAAAGGCAAAAACTGGGTTCGGCTTGCTTATCATCCATATTTTGTCACTTTGACTTTGTTAGGTAAGATGAAAGTCTACAGCTGATCTATTTTTTCTCCCAAAAACCTTGTATCCCAGGTGCTCAAGCTCCAAGCAGGATAAACCCAAAGATCCACAGGTCCCAGAGTATGTTACACATGGGCCCGGCAGCTCAAGAGTATCACTATGGACATGGTCTTTCCATCCTGGTGTCCAAAGTGTCAGGGTCATCCTAAAGCTGCTGCTAGCGGCTTCCAGCAGCTTCTTATTTACACATGGGTTGTGGGGGGGAGTACCCAGATCAAGAGAAAAAATGAGAACCAGCAGAAAATGCTGCTTCCAAAACCAAGACAGGAAAGATGTGGCAATCCTTGAATTTCCAAGGAATTACTCTTAGTAGCAAGCATCTTAATGTAATTAAGAAGGAAATCTGAAAGTAAAAAACCAGTTGGTTGACACTATCCTGTTATGAAAAATTAAATATACCTACAGAGAACAGACAGGGCTCCCAAAAGGAACCTTATAAGGGAAAAAAAAACCTGTTGTTCTGCTGAGTTCCGTGCAGACAGATGAGAACAAGAGTCTGAAAGGGTAGCGCTCTAGTTCAATCATCAATAGACTCTTTGGTTTAAGAAAACCCACCTCCAGCTTCCCCTCCAGCCCTGATGATGAGTAGGGTTGGCTGATTACAGAATGAAGGTACATCCTAAGAGAATCTAAACACAGGGGTGATTCAACTCAAGATCCTGAAGCTTCTAGCCATGATCGTCAATGGATTTCCTTGACCTTCTCTCAGTAATGCCCATCGTGTCCTATACCATTAAGGCCCTAAAGAGTTAAAGTACTGACCACTTACTTTACAGTTACTCTGACCAGAATTTTCACCTCTAAAAGAAAGACAGATTCTGTAAGGTGGAATAATGACATTGTGACAGTTAAAAAAATGTCCTTATTCACACTGTTGAACGACGAGCTGTGATGTTATTACATCCATACTTAGAAATAGTTCAGCCAAAAATTAATTAAGCAAAATGGTAACAACTGGTAAATCTACTGGATTAATATATGGGTAGGCATTATCTATTTTATATTCTTAAGGGTTTAGAATTTTTCATAAGTTAAAAAAAAAAAGGTTTCAAGTACAAACGGCACCTTTTCAGGGTGTTTGGCTAAAGTATTAATGAGAAATAATAGGATGTTCCCTGGCACACTTCAAAGAATTAATAAATAGAACAGAAGCAGGTAATGAAATACTCAGGGCCAGTCTCTTCAAGCCGTCACTAAAACATCTCACTATCCTATTATTTCTATCACCACCCAAAATGCACGGTGAATACCAACATCCTGCTGGTAGTCAGGGAGAGTC